TCCGATCGCCCAACGGTTGGCCGTGACCGCCGGCGCATTATCCAATACGGTCGAAATGCTTTTAAAACCAAAGAGCCCGGTGCTGCTCAAAAGGCACCTGCTGTGCGCAGCCGCATCAGGAATGAAACAGTAATGCCTTATTCCCTGTGCCCTCGGTTAGGACACCCCCCTGCAGCCGAGCAGGTCAGACTGTTGAGTCGTCGGCCCCTGGCAGGGTCCCCAAAGAAAGCCCTACGTCTTCCAACTGCCTTGTGGGTCAGACTTTTGAGTCGAAGTTTCGTGGTTGGGCACCTCAACCAAACCCCCTTCCTCGGCCTGGGCAACCGAGGAGTATCGTCCGCCCGCGCAGTTCAGCGTTCACTGATGTCCCTCCCCAACCCCTTCCCACCGCACAAGCAAACGTCGCTGGGCCATTTGACTGTCAGTCAACTGACCAAAGGGCCTTATGCTCCTCGCTGCCTACAAACAGTAAGCAAAATAGCGCCTTTCTAAATCCATGAAATCCTTCCTATATGGGACCCTTTAACGTCCATACTCAACGTCGAATTGGCAAACAGGCAATGCTCGCTGAAAACTTGTACTCCCTTAGAATCAATGTATGCTCTCTCCGAAACACGCATACAAGACCCGAGTGTGGTTATGCATCTCAGAACGCCAAGGATGAACTCAGCTCTTTCACATTCCTCCCTCCGTGTGTCCGGCAACCCAGAAGCGATGACTCGTAGAATATATGGCGTGGGAGTTGCACTTAGCCCCAGAGCTGAACGCGCTTTGCTGGATTGGATCCCAGTAAACAGTCGTCTCTGCGCCGTCCGGTTATCCAGTTCAATCAAACCCAATGCCCCTCGACATAAGAAGCGGAGCCTATTTGTCCTGTCGGCTTATGCCCCGACGGACTGCGTTCTGATCCGGAGAAGGATACTTTCTATCGAGAGCTAACCGGGCCCATTCGTCAGGCAAAAAGCACTAACATTGTGATCCTTGCAGGCGAATTGAATGTTCAAGTAGGTTGTCTGAGGTCCTCGGAATCACATTTGGGTGGTCAATTCGGAGTCGATGCTCGCTGCACAGACAACGGAGATCGACTCCTTCAGTTGTGTGCTGATCACAAACTGTTCGTGGCAAGTCCAAACTCTCAACATAAACGTTCGCACCGCGTAACCTGGCGGCCATCAACTACAAATCAACGCTGGACCCGGGACGTGTGTATCAAACTACAGTGTGGGTTGTATTTCTGTATGGCTGTGAGACTTTGCTCATTCGAGCAGCTGAACTGAGACGTCTTCAGGTATTCGACAATCGTTGTCTCAGGACCATACCTCATGTGAGTTTCTGTCAGCGTAGCCGTAACGAGGCAGTTAGAAAGTGAGTTTTCGGTTATGCAACGGGTACTTCCATTGAAGAATGTGTCCAGCACCAGAAGCTGCGTTGGTTGGGACATGTGTTGCGTATACCGAACCACCGTTTGACGAAGGGAGTGCTGTTTTCCATTCCCAATTCAGAGTGGCGTAAACAGAGGGGTGGCCAACCCTAGATTTGGTCGAGTTGAGGAGTATGAAGGAGATCACGAAACGCTTGGGTGCTGTCGGTGCTACTCGCCTTCCAGGATGGGGACCGCGTGATCCTCACTGCGGCTGGTTGGAGGCATTACAACGTACGGCTGCCAACCGATGTGAGTGGCTTTCTTGTTGTCAGTTTCTATCCAGATCGCCTGAGTGAGTGTCTTGAGGTATAGGCACCAAGGGATGATTGTGGTAAGCTAGCACTGAGTCCTTTCCCCGTCCACCTTTACTCTTCTTTACAATAAGACCTTCAAACAAATCATGGTTGTACGGCAGCGAAAAGTCAGTCTTCACCTATTGGACACCGTATGCTACACTGCACTCGTGCGATAAATCACGACGGCAGGGTTAGGTAGGTACCGAAAAGGCCACCAAGGATGGATATATATATACGGCGAAATTATTCAAGGTCTGTTTTCAGTTTTCAGGGCAGAATCCAATACGTATAACTGAAGCTCTCAAGAAATGGCTCCTTGTTAATACCGTTCTTTGTGATCCACTTTGTCTCAATAAAACCAATAAACATCCTGGTGTATGCAGACAGAGGTGTCAGAGCAAATGCGTAAACAGCTCGAGAGCTTCTCAACTTTCGCAGGTCTGGATTACCGGATCTCCGTTTTATTTGTGCCAAAAAGGTATGGCCTTGAATTGGCCTTGAGAGTACGCGTTTCGGATTATTGGCTTTTGAGTTTTTGGATTTTCGGGGATTGAAAAGCCGAGAATCCAGTGAATGCCTCTTGCCCAGAGAAGCCAATTAGATAGCCTCTGAAGACAATCACACAATCCCATATCCTGCAAAGTCCACTCATCCAATTTTCTACCCGCGAGAATCTTTTGTCCAGCTACAGCTTTCTCTCCTCCCGTGCACCATTCAAAGAAGAAATCGAGTGCCTTCATTGTGAGTTGTGTTCAACTTCAACGTAGAAACACCGGCAACAGCTCGTAGACGCGAGATTATCTCCATTTTTCAGGCGTATATCTTCAGTCCCACCTTGAAGAACACACCATCAGTATTTTTCCATACTGTGAAGAACCACCTACTGCTGTTACACAAATTTATGGTATCCTTACATGATCGGACTAAGACCATATGCTCGAGAAAGCAGCAAAAC